AGTTGCTCGATGGAGACAGGCTGGTAAGGGTTTCTAAAACACGAAACAAAAAAAAAGGGGGGGGGGTGCCGAATGAGAAATGGCAAGCTGAATTTCACCCGACATCGAATTTCTCGCAAAAAATTAGCAACCGAAGGAAGTGAAATTTAATTTACCGATGCGAAAAGGCAACGAATTCGCCGACAACAAAGTCCGGCAGCAGTAAGTGAAGTATGAACGATGATCAAGCAACAGCGAAAGAATAATTGTTAAAGCGAAAATCTGCTTCTGACTCATTTTCAAATACAGGCAAGCCGGTGCCCCCCGGGGTTTTTTATGCTGCTACGTAACAGCGTTACGAAACGCATATTGTCACGGGGTTATCTGTGTGTGTATGTGTGTGTGTGTGTGTGTGTGTGTGTATGTGTGTGTCCCACGTTTCGTCCCGCATTTTCAACTCGGGAACCACAACAGCTAGACGACTAAAATTTTGGTACAGTGTTCCCTGCCGACGGGTGACGCGGCAAATTTAAATTCAGCCTTCCCGTACCCGCGGGTAACTCGTACGGCCCCGTGAAAGTTTTTTACGGATAAATTAATATCTCAGGAACCACGGAGTCAAGGAGGCTGAAATTTTAGGGTAATGACCCTCTGCCCACACTCAACCTTGCCCATTCAAATTCAGCGTTCCAGCTCTCTCGGGTATCACATACGGGCTAGTGAAAGTTTTCACGGGTAAATTATTATCCCGGGAACCACGGGGTCTAGGAAGCTGAAATTTTAGAGTAACCCCTGCCCACGCTTAAACTTAACTGTTCAAATTCAGCGTTCCCTCGCTGTTGAGTATCACCTACGGCCTCGTGAGAATTTTGGCGATTAAACTATTAACTCGGGAACCAGGGAAGGATATTCACCCTTCAAGGTTTCGAATTCATCTTCCATACGCTGGTGCGTGAAATTTTTAACTGTTTTCCAATGTTTGAACTATTTTTGCATAGACAAAAGGTACAAGAGTGCGTGAAATTTTTAACTGTTTTCCAATGTTTGAACTATTTTTGCATAGACTAAAGAACAAAGCAATGAAAATCATTAATAGGCAATTGTTCGATGAGCTGGATTGCACAAAACGCATGATCGCACCGGCTAGTCTGGTGCGCCTTGCTATTTATTCTGTTTTCAGGCACTGGTATCTTCATACGCAAGCATGCCAGTGTGTCCCGCATTTCACTGAGAGAGATTTTGCATTCAGGAACTAGACTACGTTCCAGTGGTACCGCACTTCCGTCTCTCCATTTTCTTTTTCTAAAAATCGACCCAAAACAAAAACTCTGAACTATTGCCGTGTACAAAGCCCTCCCGAATCTTCTCCAAATGCATATAA